GCGTGTTAGAACGAGCCGTTTTAGGTAGGTGTGGCTAACTCTTAACTTTTATAAAGAATATCTCTTTGGATTTGAGACTTTAGTCTTTGCAACTTTACAGATCTTCTTTATGCACCAAGAGCTTGTTACACTCCAAAGAGAAAAGAAAAATTGAAATCGCATCATATGACCACTTTAACAAAGACTATAGAAGACCCAAGATGTGTCACAAAAATGCAACACTTAATATGGCCGCTCTATCGAAGGAAGTCCTGCCTTCTGAGTAAAAGAGCCAATCGCTAAACGATAAAGTCATCGCGTCACTGCAGCTGCCGTTGGAAGTCCTGGTTGCTATAGAAACAGTCAGCGTTCTGAGACGGGTGCTTAGGACTGCGCATGTGCACTGGATGGTCTAGACTGAAAAAAATAAGCTTTTTTTTAACACTATTTGAGCAAAAGAAACAACATTTATGAGACAGTTGTTGTCAGATTTCATTGGTCATTACAAATATGAATTTTAATCGTAAGCTTGGCTAACAGTTTTGGAGAATTTGATGTTTCCCCATTCAAAGAGATAGGAGCTGCACTTGCATGCCCGAGAGGCGTTTCAAAGATGGCCACCGAGTGAAATGACTTGCCTTAAAGGGACTTTGGTTTTAATTATCATCCAATCACATTGCTGCTTACGTCACTTCGCTAGCAGTTATTTCTCTCACACACAAGTTTGCGTCTCAATTTTTTGGGATATTTTCGATGTTTGGAATTCAAGTAATTGACTGTATTTGATGTTAGACAATTTGTGATAATCTAGAACAGGGATCCTCAAATCTGGCCCACGAGATCCACTTTCCTGCAGAGTTTTGCTCTAACCCTAATCAAACACACCTGAGCATGTTAATCAATGTCTTCAGGATCATTAGAAAATCACAGGTAGGTGAGTTTGGTCAGGGTTGGAGCTAAACTCTGCAGCGCATTGGCCCTCCAGGGTAAGATTTGAGGAACCCTGATCTAGAAGGTCAAGGTGTATTTTACACAGCATGCGGTCAACGCACTCTAGAAGTGGTGTGATCTGCGCCAACTCAATGAGACCCTCTAGTGGGAACTTGTTTTTAATAAGTCTTATGTTTTTCTTTGTTTGATCTATAGTGAATTAAGACACATATGAATAGTCAATTAAGCTATTTTTAACACATACGGTTTAAAAAGGGTAGCACAAATTTCATGTCAGAACAGGTAAAACAGAAGGTTCTCAGACGGTGCCTCAAGTAAAGGTAACTTTATAAATTCTCAGTTTTCCACATGAGCTCATCTGATTTTGACAGCTAATTAATTTGTTCATAAAGCTGCTGATTGGTTATTGACTCCTCACCTGGAGCCATATCTTGTTCAAACCTTATTTTCTACATGAATAGAGAAACACTTGCTCTTGGCGTATGCCAAGATACCAACCATTGTCTCCTATAGATCCCACTCTAGCAGTCATTTTTACAATGATGCCACTGTGCTGTTTTTCTTTCTCTGGGAACTGTTGGCCAAACGCCCCTGTTCCCTTCTGAAGCAGGGGGGCAAAATACTTGGCCATCACCAGTGGACCCACTGTATTAGTGGTCAAAGTGGAAATTATTGCCTGGGGAGGGGTGGAAGTGTTAGAAAAAAATGTTACATGTCAAAAACATTTGAATATGCCCCACAAAGTATGATTTCAGTATTGATAAAAAAGGTCAATTTGTCACCTGAGCGGACACGTCTCGTAAACTTGTTTCTCCTTTACCGGACGGATGAAGCATAGCTGAAGAATTAATGATCAAATCCACTTTCCCAAAGGCAGCTTTGACACTCTCAGCCGCTCTCTTGATGTCATCTTCCCTGTTGACATCCAGTTTCAGTACAGTCATCCTGTCCGCGTGCTGCGCGCTCAGGGCTGCCAGATGTTGTGCGGCGTCCGGGTTTCTGCATGTTGCGATCACGGCTGCCGGAGATTTGTTTAAGAGTAGATATCTGCAGAACTCAAAGCCCAGACCTCTGCTCGCACCCTGCACGACACGCCCCATTTTGGAGATCTCTGGTCTGCAGTTATATCTACTTGGGCACGAGCGCCACAGCAGCCATGACTCCTTACGAAAACAAGATTCACGTGAATTTGTATTGGCTGCCCTCTATAGGAGGAAGGAAGGAGGACACTTACACAACCAACTAGTTTTGTAACTTATATATGGGTGTTTCATTTTAATTTACATGGTATTTTAAAAACAACAACAAATGGAAACGTGTGTTTTAGGTAGTAGGTTAAGTTTTAGGCTTATCCTAAAGTAACCTTAAGTATTAGGCATAAAGCGATAGACTACTGTCGAATGTCTGACTACTTGACACTTCTGAATTCTTCATCTAGTTTTACACTGAGTAATGAGCCCATATAATTTGCACAACAAATTTTATTTATTTGATAATGTATTTATCAAACAAAATCGGCAGAAACATAAATCGGCGCCTATGCAGTTTTATTTTTTAATTTTAAATTATTTTTATTTAATTTTATTTTTCCACTAGGAGGCGACAGTGCAGCTTGTTTCTAAATGAAACTTTCATGATTGTACTTTACAAAATAAGAACAGTTCTGTTATTCCGTCTGGTTTATGTAGAATCATATTCTTCTGTAGGCCTACTGTACTGGAATCAGAGATGGTATGAATGATAAAAAGTAATTTTCTTGGAGTTTGTAGCATTAATTTCCAGACAACATCTATTGGCCCCACAAATATTACAGAAAATGGGGCAGATAAATCATGGACCTTCAGAGTGAATAACACACACATTATTTTTATGATTTTGAGCTATGTTTATGCATTTCTATAGGCCTATTTGTTTCAAATGTACGTGCCGTTTTCAATTAAAGTGTCCTATATGGTTATCACCTTAAATTAAATTTAAATTTAAAGTAGAGTTATACATGATATAGGGCTGGGGATGAGGCAGTATTAATATTGGCAATAATTGTTTGACTACCACAATATTCACACACACACAATTTTAAATGCCCATGTTTCTACTAGTGTTAAAAAACCCACCCGTAGCAGTGCAGTCTGTAACACCAGCACTCTTTTTTCTTGACATTAATTACCTATAAATTGTAGATTCTGGAATTATTTTAATTTGCCGAAGTCAAGACGTTTAGGAGACACAAAACGTTTAAATAATAAATAATTAATAATAATCAATTTTGTTTCTGTAATACAGAATATCAATAATATCAATTCATGACTATTTGGTGCTGTGAGGGGAAAAAGACTGACAAATGTTTGCTAAAGCTTTGGTTACACCCGTTAATGCTTCAAAACAACATGATAAACTTCCCTCTCACTCAGTTTTTGTCGGAACATGGTGTGCGAAAATGACGAACCAATGATGTCCTCTAAAAATAGAGAAATTAGCCGCGCGTCAGTGACTGAACGCTAATCGGATGCGCATCACTCATTGCGCGCGCAGCTGTGATCTCTTGCCATCATCAGGCGCTCTGAAAAGTTCATGGATAAAAGGAGCACGGCATGGTGCTGGGCGATACCAACAGATCTGCTGTCGCGCAAAGCCACGGAGAAACTATGAAGTCCTTGATGGGCGAGGAGCGCGCGCGAGAGACAGGTGCAAGTGTGGAAACCTCTAACGGCATGATGATTTCCGAGGTCCTTATCCCTCGCCTATTCAAAATTGCGCACGAGTCTAGAGAGGTGGCAGTGGCTGCGGGCTCCGGATCCTTGGAAATGAAGCCCTCCAGCTCCCCGATCCTTCTGGAGATGATTGAGGTGGCGAACGGCACGCGATGCGCGGAGCAGATCCTCAGCTACGGAGAGGTCGAGAAGGTGCTGATCGGTGGAGTGCTGACCATGCTGACGCTCATCACCATCTGCGGGAACCTGCTCGTGGTCATCTCCGTGTGTTTCGTGAAAAAGCTACGGCAGCCCTCCAACTATCTCATCGTGTCCCTCGCGCTTGCGGACCTCTCCGTTGCGCTCGCGGTGATGCCGTTCGTCAGCATCACGGACCTGATCGGTGGCCGCTGGATTTTTGGCAAGTTCTTCTGTAACGTGTTTATAGCCATGGATGTGATGTGCTGCACCGCGTCCATCATGACCCTCTGCGTTATTAGCATAGACCGGTGAGTTATTGAGTATTGCTATTGTTAGTGATTATTGGTCATGATAATCAAGATATTGATCATGAAAAATGATTTGGCAACACTTTACAATAACATTGAAAAAGTACATTGTATCATTAGTGAATATATTAGGTATCGTGAACTAACAATAAACAATAATTTTACAGTATTTATAATTTTATGTTAATATGAATTTCTACATAAACACTTTTAACATTAAATTCAAGTACAATTTAAATTATATTATACAACATTAAATTTAAATTATACAACATTTATAATGAACATGAATTTATCATTTTACATGAATTAAGAATGAACAACAGTGTATTTATAAATTAGTATTCTAGATTAATAAGCTTAATTTAAATAAATATTATTTTAAAATAAGCCATTATTCATGTAAATTAATATGAATTCCTAAATAATTATATTTATATATAAGTTTCACAAATCTGTTGTTAGTTTCTAAAACATTAACTAATGTTAACAAATTATTCAACCTTATTGTAAAAGTGTTACCAATGACACATTCAATTGTTATCAAGTTGGTTTCTCTGAAATTAAATGCCTGTAAGTTTTATTTTTCTGCTTTGAACTTCTGTGTGGCATGAATTGTTTATTATGAAATGCAGTGTTGCAGAAATTCATTCTTTGGGTCTTGACTGTTTTGATCAGACCAGTCAAGAAACTGGATAAAGTCTATATCAAATAGCTAAAAACCTATGGCACAAAATAGCTCATGGAATATTTATTATGACATATAGCTGAAGCTTTTTTGTCATGATAATATGACTAAAAAAAGAAGTCCTTTCGTCTTAGTTATCCATGTATTTACCCTCTATCACAGGTACCTTGGCATCACCAGACCCCTAACTTACCCAGTGAGGCAGAACGGCTGGTGTATGGCCAAAATGGTGCTCTCTGTATGGCTGCTTTCTGCATCAATCACCTTGCCGCCGCTCTTTGGCTGGGCGCAGAACGTGAACGATGACCGCGTGTGTCTGATCAGCCAGGACTTTGGCTACACCATTTACTCTACAGCTGTTGCGTTTTACATCCCCATGACTGTCATGCTGGTCATGTATTACCGCATCTACCGTGCCGCCAAGCTCAGCGCTGCCAAACACAACATCACTGGCTTCCCTCGTGCGGGACAGGAGGAGGAAGAGGAGGATGAGGTGGAAGGGGCAGAGGGGGCGGAAGAACACGTGGAAGTGGATTGCGTAACCATTGCAATCAAGCTGCAGAGGGAAGTGGAAGAGTGTGCGCGTCTGCCTCGACTCCTGCGAGGAGTCGGCAGGAGAAGCTCGGACCGCAGGAGCATCTCCATATTCAAGCGGGAACAGAAGGCGGCGGCCACGCTCGGGATTGTGGTAGGAGCGTTCACCGTCTGCTGGCTTCCATTCTTTCTCCTCTCCACGGCCCGCCCCTTCATCTGCGGGACAGAGTGTAGCTGCATCCCGCTGTGGGTGGAGAGAACGCTGTTGTGGCTGGGCTACGCCAACTCACTCATCAACCCCTTCATCTACGCTTTCTTTAACCGCGACCTGCGCATCACCTACCGAAGCCTGCTCAGCTGCCGTTACCGCAATATTAACCGCAGACTGTCGGCCGCCGGCATGCATGAGGCCCTACGCCTGGTGGAAAGACCGGAGGTGGTTGTCTCTGGGTGACCCGAACTGTGCACATGACATACAAAGTTTGGAGGTCAACATTTGCACAGGAACTCACAAGCCTAAATGGTCATGATGGCATTAAGGATTGTGTTATGTTTGGACAGTACCTACACAGTCCAAAACAGTGGTCAAATTAGACCAAGGTGTGCATTATGGTCAATGCAATTGCATTTTCTCATCTTTACTGACATAGGAACACAATCACCGGCTTTCCTTTAGTAGAACAAGAGAGAAAAATGCATATAGCTGATGTATCACATAAAGTCCAGCTTCTGTTTCAATTCCAGATATTCTAAAAGAACAGAAAACAAAACAAGAAATACATATATATGAGGGATTCTGGATACACAGATCAATAGAACTGTAGGGAGAAATCTGTTTAGATTTATCCGTTCTTGAAAACAGAAAACCACTCAGCTCGGGTTCTGCTTTAAAAACGTTTATCGAGCCGTGAGAAACTCCTTTGTCAACTGTCAGCACCTGTTAGTTCACTAAGTGTCTGAATCTTGAGCCTCTATGCTAAACACAACTAAAGACAAGCCATTTCTACTTTCAGTCTGCACATGCACACTCTGTATAAAACCACCAATTGTTTTATGCGTTGATGGAAAGCACATTAAAGCACAGATCTAATGTCAGCTATAAGCTTCTTTCTGCAGCTGTGGTTAAGCCAAAAGGAACAGGATGTAATCTGATCACAGATCAGTAATTAAAGGGATTCTGATGAGATTGACTCTTGTCTCTTTTTTTGTAGGCAGCTATTTATAGTTTGATTCTGCTTGGATCTTATGTGATTAGCTTGTATGTCGCTTGTACTTATTTATCATACATGTCACAGAAAAATTGCAGTTGTGATCAGGTTCACTCTTTTGAGTTCCTCACAATTACTTGTGCATAAAAATATCAACAAATTTGTAATGACTTTTGTACTTATGTCTGCCTGTGTAAATATTAAAAGCAGATGCACAAAAACGTAAAGATACCTATTCAATGTGTTTTTATTTTAAGTAGATGTTTTAATGTCACTCCTTGTACATATTTTCCCAAACGAGTTGGAATAAATGATGAATGAATTGGGATTTTTGTGAAGTTCTTGCATTTACACCTTTGAATCAACCTCAGAACATTGCCAGATCTATAGAAAATTGCTGCCCAGTTATTTCACTCATTACAAATTTTTCCCATTAGGATGCCATTTCTACGACTTCACCTTGAATATTGAATACTTCCAGGCAATAAGGATAAGAGAAGGATGGTGGGAGAAGGGAAAGAAACGAGAAGCGTAGTGCGAGGGAGGTGTTCCCATTCACTTAGAATCACTAAAGCACTTGTTATGACTCAAATCTAATTAGTTGCCCAGTCCTTGAGGCCCTGCTGGGAATTCTATTTTAAGGGTCCAGTGTGTCTACCTGTGACAGCTACCTGCCGCTGGTGAAAAATCCATTCACAGAGAGGATGCACTTCTGTTCTGATGATGATGATGGACCTGATTTCACACCGGTGTTTCACTCAACATGAATCTGCTCCGGTCCAGAGCAGTATTGTATGAGCTCCTGCTGACACATATAAATAATTTTTGCCTACTGAGCTTAAGAAGTAAAATAACATAAAGACTGAAGCCACTGTGGTAGATGGATTGGAGGACTGTAAAATTATAGGTTAGAATAATTCCCTCACATTTCACCCAACCGTGAAAATCCTTTCAGTCGTAAGAGCGAGAGAGGACAATTTTGAGTGGGCAGTAATCAACTCTTTCTGTCTTTCTTTGTTTATTTTTTTATTACTTGTCTAAATTTCCTTCATCTATATTTCCTCTTTTCTACTGACATTTAGGTGTTCTCTCCATCCGTCATGACACCTCATCAGTGATGAGATTTATTGCAGATTAATAATAATAATAATAATAATACATTTGATTTAAGGCGCCTTTCAAATCACTCAAGGTCACCGTACATCATGAACAATAAATAAAACAGCAATAAATAACAATAAATAGCAATATCAATGAACCATAAAAAGAAAAGGAGCAGTTTAAAAAAAAAAACAATTCAAGATTTGAGTGTAGACAGGAGATGAAAGTAACAAGACCGGGTTATACTATTAATGTGAGCTTCAAATGAAAGAGTGCTGTCAAAGATGATCCCCAAGTTCTTAACCTGGCGAGAAGGAGAAACGGAAGAACCATCAATGGATAAAGAAAAACTACAGGACCTAGAGAGAACAGATACAGAACCTTGGGGGACACCACAGCTAACAGAAAAGGGATGGGAATGAAAACTTTTTAATTGTACAAACTGTGTACGATTGGAAAGGTATGAAGTAAACCAGGTGAGAGGAATACCAGAGATACCAATAGCAGATAAACGGTTTAACAAAATATTGTGTGAAATGGTATCAAGACATAAATTCATCACATTGAGCAGTGCAGTACAGGTGTGCAGGAAGGCTGTCAGGAGGTTTCAGTATACGATTTACAGTGCAGAACAAAGCTTTAGTATTACAATCTCTGGACTCAATTAAATGCGAATAAAACTCATGTTTGGCAGCAGAAAGAACATCCTTATAAAGATGAACATGTTCGTTATACAGCTCTCTATGTACCACAAGTCCAATTCGTTTATAAAGGCATTCCAAACGCCGCCCTCTGGACTTTAGCTGGCGGAGTTCAGGAGTCAACCAAGGCGCAGAGTTAGTGAAAGATACAGTCCGAGTTTTAAGAGGTGCAAAATTGTCCAGGAGCTGTCGTAATTCAGAATTATAAAAGGAGACCAGCTCATCAGAGGAAGAGAGATGGTCACTGTGTGGGAGGTCGTGATTGCAACAGTAAAAGCTGAGGGGTTGATCTTTTTTTATTCCGGAATGTCATAGAACGTTAATGCCTGGATCTAGAGAGTGTAACATTAACATTGAAAGAAAGCAATTTATGATCGGATATGGGTATTGCAGTTGCTGTACAGTCCAGAGGTGTAACACCTGAACAGCAAACAAGGTCCAGAGTGTGGCCTTTAGAATGGGTTGGAAAGTCCACATATTGCTGGAGACCAAAACTGTCTAGGCAAGAAATGAAATCCCTAGTGAGCGAGTTACTAGCAATGTCCACATGAATATTAAAATCACCCAGTAGAATAATATTAGGTGATAAGTTACACAGTGAGGTTAAAAATGCACAAAATTCATTTAAAAATGTATTACTATTATAACTTTATTGACTCACCTGAGTCCATTTTTCATTGCATAAATTAATTACATTTGGAACCTAGATATTAATTCTAAAAATCACATTATGGTCAGCTAAATTATTCCACTGAAATACCTTTAATATTTTCTGTGAAGCTCATTTGAGTGCTTAGCACTCACACTTTGTCAACTTTTTAGTGTTCATCACTCAGAGCAGAATGGATAATAATCGTAATAATACAATTACCTCTTGCTTTCCTCTTCTCTTGCTGTAGAGGTAGCAGTGGGTTGTTGAACTGCTCTTTATGTGATTTCTGTGCTAGAAAAATAGATACATCTGCATTCTTCATCAGTCTGCATGCCATTTACATATAAAGTGACTCAGATGTGTGTTGGTCACAAAAATTGCTCAAACTACCTGCTGAGAGAAAGCGAGAGAGATGAGAGCATTGAGAAGAAGAGAAAAATAACAAGAGGCTTCATCTGTGAGCATTCTGTGCACTTAAGACCAATTAGCTCATACTTGTGTTTGACTCTGCTTTAAAAAAGTATAAATATTCAAGCTGGCTTATTTCACTACAACAGTAATCACAGACGCTAATCATGATTAGAGAATTTGCATTAAATACAACATTATTTAACAATTAGTGGTATTCAGAAAACAAAAATGATGACATCTTTAAAGTAACATTCTGATTGGACTGTTTTATCAAAAGGACTCGTTGCTGCTTGTCCAAAATGTTACCTGTTACTCATCAAATGCCCTTTGAGGATGTCTTTTACACTCAGTTCTGTCTCACTGCTTCTGTCCATCACTCTTTTTTTTCAGGAGAACGGAAAGCATTTTCTAACTGCAGGGCTTCCTCGCTGCTCTGATTATGTGATAACCTAAGGACTGGCTCAATTGTCAGTGCAGGTAATTATTATAATGGTTAATGCAATTATGTCTATATAATAGTAATAATACATGAGTGACTGTCTGTACATCTGGTTTCTATCAAGTTATGTTCCTCTGGAATAAGAACTGAAAGGCAGTACAATGTAGAAAGTGTACATTAACTAAAATCTACCTTTTCTGAAGGGTTACTCCATCCTAGTTCCATGCTTGTTTTGTTACATTTCTACACAGAATACTTGAAGCAAAGTTATAATTGAGAAAATAAAATTAACAAAGTTTCTGTCAGTTTCTATCTATTTCTTATTTTACATTGGAATTCCTGGCAAAAAAAAAAAAAAAAGCTGCAAATGATGTATTATGAGTCAGTCTATACAGTATATATTGTATTCATCTCAGCTGGTTGGTTTGGTTCATTATCTTATAATTATAAAATAGTTTTTTTTTAAATGAAAAATGAATGGGGAAAATACTTCCTGTAACTTTTCATTTTCATTTCCCCCTTATAAATGCTGAAACGAAACAGCACAAAGTATATGAGTATTAAATGAGACAAGCTCTATTAATTTTATGATTGGCCATTTTTTCCCCACTACACAGCCTTTTAATCCTTTTCTATGTAAACATGCAGTAGATGGGCATATTTTACTCTTCTAAGATGGTTTTATAAGCAGTGTGAAAAGCCCACAAGAATATATAACTGATTAATAAGCCTTTATGATAGAGGCCTGTATGATGTGATCCTCACGCAAATTGCAAAACTGTTCATTATCCTGTTTTCTAGAAAACGTTAGTCCAGAATGTAAGGTCTTAAAAAGTCTTAATTCACCCTTTCACAAATTAAGGTCTTAAAAAGTTTTAAATCATTGCAGAAAGTCAAATATCTAAAACTATATATATCTACACATCCTTGTTTTCCCTTTGAATTAAGTTGGTTTTTCTGAGCCCACTGGGAGATATTTGTTCGTGCTTTAATCATGAACTCATTTCATTTTGATCAGTTTCGCAGAAAACAAGACTTATTACCCAATGTCATTTTGCTTCTCAAGTAAATGTGTCTTGAATTAAGAATCTTTAGACATTTGCACTGGAAAACAAGACCAAAATACTGTGGAGGAAAGAACAGCACTTTTTTGCAGGTACTGTAAAAAGGATTTCCATATTCTAGGGGTTGGGAGCAGAGGCATTTGAGCCTATTTAT